GTGGGGCATGCATTGTTATGCTAATAATTTTGGTCATGGTTTCGATGGGCAACAACAACCGGGGCATGTTTGATATTGTAATATTATGCTGTGCAGTGATATGCGTTTTGGGGGTAAAAATAAATTTGATAACTAGTTACTGTGTTGTTTCTGTAAATGTTTAAAGAATCAAAGTAATGTTTAGTTAAAATTGACTGTTGTGCTTTCGATATATAAAATTACTAATAGGGACTGCATTAAAAATATCTAAACATCTACAAAATAGTACGCTAAACTCCTTGCTTCATTACTCTTACTTGCAGCCAGAGAATGATAAATACATTTTATTTATATTAAATAATTTATGGATTCTCAAACTCACTTACTAGCATACAAAAATATTTTTTTATGAGAATAATTCTTTAAGTAGCCAAGAAAATTGAATAAATGATATTATATATATAAACACATCATTTTAATAAAATCAATATTATATTAAAAAAATCTGATGGTTTTTTCACTTTGTTTATTTGTTTTGGAAAATTACACTTCACATTTTAAACTCTAATAACTTTATAGCATTATATATCCTTCAACTTTAATTTAAAGAAAAAATCAATAAAAAAATATTGAATTATTTATAAATTTATCATTTTATTCAATTTAATGACTAAAAAAGATCATCAAAATAATAATTAACATTTTGTTATCAAACTAATATTATAACTTTGTAAAAAACAAACTAAAACTTTATATTTATCAAACACCAGGTGTGCAATAAAAAATCAACCTCGAATTCATAATTTCCCTCTACACGAATAGCTTTAAGCTTTAGAAACTTAATGTGACTAAATCATCGATTAATATGAGACTAGGAATTACCTATAAATTGAAGATCCAATCTGGGTAGGGCAGCATCCAATTGGGAGCATCTAGGTTAGAATTTGGATTTGGATCTAAGCGAAGAGTGATGAATTGATAAAATAGGGAATTGTTTTCGCTTATAAAAACTAATTTGTTTTTATCTGGAGATGGAATATCATCGAGAGAAAGAAAAACGAGGGATGGAGGGTGGCTGTTTTGTGTTTATTTTGGGTTATAATATATTATAATGAGGGTAGTAATGTTATTTCATATGGTTTGGAATTTTAGATTAATTGAGGATATAAAATGTAATTTTTTAATAATATATATACAAGAGGCTCAATGTATTTTTTATTAAAAATTGTGCAAAACAATAGCATATTTGGCATGCGCAATTGAAAGAAAAAAAACAATGGAGAAAGTTGCCATTTTAATTGGAAAAATAAAGTACGCGATAAACAATTGTGTTTTAATTGAAAAAAAAGAAAAGAAAACAAAAGTAAACTGCTTTGTTTAAAAAACATTTCTTTAGAAGTGGTACATGATTTGACTTAAAAGAAAAGCAGGTATTAATCCAACCGTCCTTTTAGAACATAACCTATTCAAAAGTAGGTACATTTTCTTTCCTGCACACTTGCCTAAAAGTTTTCATAAAATAGCATAGGATAAATAAGTATTTAAAATATAATATAGTTTTAACAAAAATACAATTGAGAATGAATACATGATTAATATTAAAAATAAGAATGACAGCTTTTAAATGATGAATTATTTTTTATTCAATTTAGTTTTTATTAAAAAAATAATTAAATTAATTTTTTTTAAATAAAATCGGTTCAAATTGATTAATTTTGGTTCAGTTTTTTAGGATAAAAACCAGTCCAAATCAGTTTGATTTTTTTTTTGTTTGACTCCATCCTGGCTTATTTTTTCGATTTAACTTGGTTTTTCGGTTTGGATTTGATTTGGTTTTTTTAATTTTAAATTTATAAAAACAAACTCAACTGGTAAGTTTTTTTTAAATTTTAATTTATTTAATTGGTTTTTTTATGATTCAATTTTTTCAATTTTTTTCTTAGCTCAATCAATTTCTTGGTTTTTTTCTTACCCCTGAATGAATTATCACTCCACCTCTAAAGTAGCTTGAAATTCAAACTCTAAATAATGAATAGGTATTTAAAAAAATACCCTGAGAACAAACACTAATTAATAATCTTTAAAACAAACCCTTGCTAAATATAATAATATCTTTAGGTTTGTTTAAGGTTTATTATGAATTCAATATTTCATAATAAAATTCAATAATAAATCAATACTAGATAATAGAATTGAAAAAAATAAAAATAAAAAACTGATTTTTTTTATTATATTTAGTTAAGATATTATTTAGTGTTTGTATTTAGAGTTAGTTTAGGATCATAATAAAAATTAATTTATTGTTTGAATTATTTATTCAAAATCATTGTGTTGAAGTCTGTATTTTCAATTTTGTTTTTGTTAAAATTACGCTATTTCCTTGATAATTTTTTTGGCCTTTGCTGATTTGCCATATTTTTGGTACCATGATTTTCAAAGGGATTGTGCAGCATTGTGTGTAATGCCATGACGTGGCTATTACGTTGTAATGTGTTGTCTGGTGACGTGTTGTGGGGGTAAATATTGCATCTGGTAACTAGGTGTCGTGCTGTGCTTAAAAATGTTTAAAATAGTTAAATATTACATTATTTTTTTGAGATGTAAAATGACCAATAAGTACTATATATATATTTTACGAGAGTGGTTCTCAAGTTCAAAAAACTAAAAAAAATGGGGATTAATTAGGATGATTATATGCATGGACATGTCCTTTTAATAAAACCAACAACATAAAAAATTGAAATATAATTATGTAAAATACACTAACATCTATGGTTGTGTAATTAAAAAACAACAAGAAAGTTGTTATTTTAATTAAAAAATCATCGGCACATAAAAAAATTTGATATCCATGGAATAATTAATTATTTTCTAGACTCACTTAAAAAAATAAAAAAAAAGTAATTATTTTCTAGACTCACTTAAAAAAAAAAATTAATAGAGATAAATCTTAGACAAAGATATTATTATTATTATTGATGAATCATGAATTTTGTTTTTTAAATGGAGCACGTAAAGTAACTAATATGATACTATTGTGTTTTTTCATAAAGTAAGATGTTTTTTCTTCTAGAAACTGGCACCATATTTGATTTTCAAAATTAAAACATGTTTTAATTAAACACTATTGTGTAGACTAAACACAATTACACCTTAAAAACATGTTAATGCAGAACAAGCACACCGACATGGCAGAACCGGATCACGTGATTTAACACCGGATCACCGCTTACAAGGAACGAGTCCTGTAGCATTTTTATTGCAGTATTTGGTTTGGTAGTTGAAGCGTAGATGAGTGCAATGTCCCTAGGATAGTGATGTGCAATTGACAGAGTATTTAAAACAAAGTAACAAAATTAATGATTAATTGTGTTTAATTGATGTCGTGGCATATAGTGTGTGGGATTTGCATATTCTTAGATACTTTTTTCCATGGATGTACGTGGTAGAGTGACAAGACATGGTTAAAATCATATTTTATTTTAATTTTAATTTTAAAAGTGTTTAGTTAATTAATACTTCTACATCAATTCCATTAAAAATTCAATCTTGCAATATATTTTTTTAATGGAAAAAAAAAGGAAGCTTCGTTAGCTTAATTTAGTCTCTTTGGATAGCAATAGGAAAATCTATACCCGAAAAAAGATTGGCATGACTTTAAAGAGAGACTGACGTCACATAATATAAATAATGTGTATTTTATATTCTAAAAACATGTAAAAAAACCGTTCTTATATTATATTCAAGGTTTACGATTTTTTTAATATAACTAATTGGATATGAATATATTACTTCGTGTTGAATGGTTATTATTATTATTACTTTACCATGAATGGTTATTCTCCTTGCTACCCAGTTGGACATTTAATAAGAATAGAGGACCTGATTAGGTAGAAATACTCCCCAACTGACAGTAAAATATCAACTACATTTAAAAACAAGGTCGTTGAGAAATCCCTTTATTAATCGTGGGCTAAGTCTCGCTAGCCTTGAATTCACATTCATAGAGGAAAAAGAAAAACATCGCGCATACAAATATATTATACTAAATTTCACACCAATAAATTTTATAAATAATAGACTAGACATGAAAAGATGGACTGTCAGGTATAAAAAATTAATTTAATTTTACCATATTTCAAAAATAATATTATATTATTTTTTAATATAAAATGAATATTCTTTAATTCTAAAATTTATATAAGTTCATTAACATATCTTTTAAAATAAAAATTATCCAACCTTAAAATTTATATACCTGTATAATTAAAAATCTAATATAGCATATTTTTATAGAACACGAAAAAACAACTCAAAGCTATTAATTTTGTTTGTTTTTATTG